AATATATAATTACTTTATATTATTTATTTCATATTCTTTATAAAATCATTATTGGAATCAAAAATAATGATTACATTTTCACAACCTGAATTGTTAAATTCTAGTTTGTCATTCCTAGTGTCAAATATCGAACTCAAATCCTCAATTAGTTCCCATTTCCATTGCCTCCAGGTCAGTGAACAAATATCCTAGTGAATGTTATCTTTGCGCGACCGAAGCAAACTTACTCTTCACAGAAATAATCATCTCCAGCATGAATCATCTCTGTCCTTTCATTAGAATAATGCTCTCTGCATCTCCTCCATCTCCTGCTCCTTTTTTTATTTTAATTTTTTGGATTGCTTTCTGAGTTATGTGTTGTGTACACCTGACGTGAGCGGTGGCGTCTTCAACACGCCGGATCTCATCTCAGACTGATGACAGATTGACGGCCGTTATAGACTTGGACTTTCCTATCTGTTGGGACTTGTTCTGTGCTGGATATACGCAGCAGCTTCATTGGCGGTAGCGCGAGCGTTTATTTATTTCCCCTCAAGGGTACACTCTTCCTCTCGTCGCAGTGACTGTAAGCAGAGGCCACGCAGCAGATGTGCCAAACACAAAGACTCGTGCTCGTCCTCAGGTGGAGCATTTCAGCTTTTAAATTAGTTTTCACACTGAATTTGTAAGTGCAGAAATAGAGCAAATGTGCGAACAATCTTATTTATAAACCTCAGTGTGTGTGTGTGTGTGTGTGTGTGTGTGAGTGTGTTTAGAGTGCAATGTGCTTTAAAAAAAGTTCCTTGACAACACTTTCTAGAAACCGGTATCATGCATGTATTTTTATAATGCTGTATAATGCACTTTGCTCTTTGGTTATATCTGTTGTTCTCAGGGAAAATGTGTTATATTTGCCATTTCGTGGTTACACATGGATTAGTGATGTTTTCAGTGTATAAATAAATAAAATCAACGTCTTTCTTTTTTTCTTTCTTTCTTTTTCTTTCAATTGATTGTTTTTGTTCATTTATTTATTTCATTTGTTTTAGTTATTACATTTTCGTTTTTTTTCATTTGTTTTATTGTTTGTTTGCTTCATTTGTGTCATTTCTTTTATTTATTTATTTGTTTTTTTTGTTTGTTTGTTTTTATTTGATTCATTTGTATAATTAGTTTTATTTATTTGTTCCATTTGTTTTATTTGTTTGTCTTTATCTTGTGTCTTTGTCACCTTAGTATTTTTAATTAATGTAATATTCTTGCCAGTTGAAGGGACAAAATCTGATTGATTGATTTGATTAAATGATTATTTATTTTATTTATTGAAGACCAGGGACAGTGTGAAAAATATTGAAAAAAATGATAAAAAATATAACCTTGATTTATTATGCCTCTTACAGTTATTCAGAGAAAATTATGTTTTTGAATGCTATATGACACGTGACATATAAACTAATATAGCTATTACATAGATAAAAGGATGATGCATTGAGTGAAATGAAAGGGAGCTGAGTGAATGAGAGTTCTGCTCTTGTGTCTGAATTGTGGCACATATGTGTCTGTGTAGCTGGACTGGAGCTGTAATTCTCTACTTGCTGCTGTGATGTCCTTGCTGGAATGTCATTGAGCATCAGCTGAATGACAGCAGACATTAAAGTGGACAGCATGTGCTGTAGATTGACAGTCCATGAAGCTGACAGCGTATCTGTTTGCACGTTTACGCTTTCTCAGTAATGATTCAGAGCAAAGCACAGAGCTTTTAAAATCATCCTGTTAAACTGACCATCACACTGTGGTGTGTGTGTTTCTGTTTCATCTTGTAATCTGTGTGTGTGTGTTTAGTTTCTGCAGGACACTTTGGATGCCCTTTTCAACATTATGATGGAGAACTCGGACAGTGAAACCTTTGATACTCTTGTGTTTGATGCTCTGGTAAGATTCTCATGACCTGTGCTTCAATAAATCTGCACAAATAAAAAATAAGTAAGGAATAATTGACTCCGGGCCGTTGAATTATTAGAAAAATAATGCACACCCGAGGTGGTGATGCGGCCACGACGCGAAGCGGAGTCAATTATTCAGCTTATACTATGGTTACCACACCTCAAGACATTGATCAGATTATATATTTAAAGGGATTCGTCCGGTTTTTGTACTTAAATTGCTATTGTGAGTAGGATTATTTCTTCCGCATCTCATCCAAAGTCTCTTTTGCTAGTTCAAAAACGTCATTTTAAAGCTGGTAATGGAGGCTTGAGCCGTTATTAGCATTCTAGTGCAGTTATTAATGAAGTTATTAGAAAGAGAGCGAGAGAGACCGAGACACACAGAGAAAGAGAGAGAGCTTGTGTGAATTAGGCTACCTCTGTGCGTCCCTCAACAATGTTCTGCAGCAGCGTCTCTAAACAGCGCTAGTGAGAAATGTCATGTGTAGCCTTTAAGTTGCTACACTATATAGGCTAACTGATCAAATCGTCAGGGTAGCGCTGACAACACCTTTTTGTGCAAACTGCGTGACCGTAGTGTGCGTGTGCGAGCACGTGTGATTGCAGTGATTCCTGTGTGCTGTATAGGTACTGTTGCTAATTTCTGTTATTACAGTAAACTATGCAAAGTGATATGGAACTGTGATGCGGTCACGAGAGCTGCCTGGAACTACGTTCGCCGTGCGTTTCCCTGAAAATAATTGCACACCTCAGAACGTTCGTCAGCCAATCTGATTCAAGGATTCAACGGCCCGTAGTATAATTTATAATAATGGTTTTATACAAATGGCTAAATTTGACCCAGTATTTAATGTTTTCGTTTTTTAATAATAGGATTTAGGCATAATCTAAACAGCTCAGTGCGAGTCTATTGTGTGTTGTGCTGAATTATAGTAATAACATGTTATATCAGTACTTCTACTCAATAGTAATTACAAAAATAAATAAATAAAAAAAAGGTTTAATATGCATAGTTGTTCACTTTTACTTCTTTTTTTAAATTTATTTTTTTATATAAATAAGTGTCTCTTCTGTTTTTGAAAGGTCTTCATAATAGGACTGATTGCAGACAGGAAGTTCCATCATTTCAATCCGGTTCTGGAGACCTACATCCGCAAGCACTTCAGCGCCACCCTGGCCTACACGTGAGTGTGAAATTCTGCCCTCTCTGTGCCAGTATGTGCTTTGTTTTCATGTGTAACACAATGTGTGCCGATATTTTCAGAAAGCTGACAAAAGTCCTGAAGAACTACGTGGAGAATGCGGAGAAGCTGACGGAGCAGCTGCTGAAAGCTCTGAAGGCTTTGGAGTACATCTTCAAGTTCATCGTGAGATCCCGCGTTCTCTTCAACCAGTGCGTTCAGATCTCTCATGTTCTGTTTTATTCATTGCACATCTGAGCTTTAGGGATATCATATCACTCAAATCCATGGAGCTGTGCTTGTAGTCTGAACCAGGGAATTATTATTAACAACAATAATAGTTATTATTATTATAACTACTACTTTTATTGAGTACTTTTTTTATTTTACATTCAAATATTACATCAATAATTTCTTATTTGCAGTACTTTAGTAGTAATTACTGTGTGTTTAGTAATTAATGTAGTAGTGATGTTTAGTTGTTTATTATTATTATTATTAAATACTTGGCTATTTTATTTAACAATACAATTGAACAATTATTCTATTTAGCATAGTAATTAACAGTAATTATTTAGTATTTTGTTTAGTGGGCTATTTTTAGTACTTAATTAGTATTTATTTATTTACTTTGCATTTATGCATTCACTTAAAAAAGAGGAACACAGCAATTTGTCAAAGAGCCAACAATATTTGTAATATAGCTAGCAATATTAGTAACAATTTTATAGCCATTTTGATATATAATCACAACATATTGGCCAAATTGTGCAGCCCTACAAACAAGAACAGCAAACCCGTTTTTTTTTTTGTTGTGTTTTTATAATTTTATTTTAATCACGTTTTTTTCTTATCAGAAAATGTTTTTTTCTTATCAGAAAATGTTTTTTTCTCCAAACTGTGCAGCTTTACTATTTTGATTGTGCAGTTTTTGACGAGTGGCAAAAAGCAAACAGATAATAATCCATGGCGTATCCAACATATACTCCAAAACTTCTTTCTTTTTCTCCTTCGAAATATGGGTTTCCCAGCCAATAAGCTGCAGTTAAGGCTAAGAGATGTGACAGCTTGATTTAATGTGCAGATCTAAAATGGCACACCTTTATCAAACCGAAGTGCCCTGGTTTCCTGACGGATGGAGGATGTGTTTGAGGCGGACAGGAAGTGGAATGGGCAGCGGCGCTGATTTAGGGAGACGGAGGACATGTTGAGTAATGACTCAGCCTAAATTAAGTTCAGCGCTGGTGATTAGCTTGTTGTCTGCAGGTGAAGTATATGATGGTGTCTCTTTAACTACCTGAATGCTGAGAGCGCCTGACACTGCAGAGCGCTGTGAGAGACACTAATGAGCAGAGTCTGATCTGATTGACTTCTCTGCTCGCTCACAGACTCGACCTGCTGCCGCTGTTCACCAACACATGCCCGACCCGACCTCACACGTCTCCCAGTCAGGGCTTCAGACTGCAGTGGAAATGATGAGAAATATGGCCAAAAATAACAATTATCGTAAGATTGAATAGCTATCGGTGTCAGAAGGAAAACCGCATCAATATGCGGTTTCATCAAATGTTCATCAGTTTCAGTGTTTTCTGCAGCCCTGCTCAGGATCTTTCTATTGCATTATTCTCCTTCATTATTCTGATTTCCTTTAAACCAGCATTCACAAAAAAAGTTTAAATTTTTAAAATAAACATTTATTCTATACACACAATTATTTGCACAAAACGCACACACCCAAACAATTCTCAACATCTTCACATTAATATTGTTTTTATTTTATGAGCCTAGATTACAAGACATTTGCTTATTTTTCGTTTATATTTTATTGTTAAATATGACCTCAGCATTTCTTAACAGATTGTTTGTTTTATTTATTTATTAATTTTTTTTCTTTTTTTATTCTATTTGATTTTGGGGTTAAATATGACCTCAGCATTTCTTAACATTTATTTATTAATTTATTGATTGGTTGATTATTGCAAAATATTTCTTCTTTTTTTGTTTGATTTTAGTGTTAAATATGATCTCAGCATATCTTCACAGCTTTTTTGTTTATTTTTATTTTTATTTTTTTGCAAAATTTAATTTCTTTTTTTTTTACATTTCATTTTGGGGTTAAATATGACCTCAGCATTTTTTGACAGTTTGTTTGTTTATTTTTATTTATTTATTTATTTTTTGCAAAACTTAATTTCTTATTTTTCTATTTGATTTTGGGGTTAAATATGACCTTGGCATTTAAAAAAATGTATTAATTGACTTTTTTTTGCTAATTATAATTCCTTATTTTTCATTGAATTTTGGGATTAAATATGACCTCAGCATTTCTTGATTTTTTTTATTTGATTAGATTTTTGCAAAGTATAATTTTATTTTTTGTTTGATTTTGAGGTTAAATATGAAAAAAAAAAATCTCCATATCTCCCCTTTGCTTTAGTAATTAATGAGTATAAAGTACTTCAAAATAATTAATGGTCAACTGGAGTGTGAAGAATATTTCAATATATTTGACGGGCCATTAACTAAGTGTGTGTGTGTGTGTGTGTGTGTGTGGACGGAGGGCCGGTCTAATGTAAACGCTCTGGATGAGAGCGAGATTGTCTGACCCTCACCGTAACCAGAGCACAGAAAATCAGGTGGCGCTAATCGCACCAGCAAAGGCCATCGGTGAGCGTTTAATAAAAGCGTGAGCGCGGGAATCCTCCCGGTGTTTGTGTGGCTCTTTGGAGCAGCACCAAGACGGCCCGTCAGCTCTCTGCCCTTCAAACTAGATTACAGAGCAATTCATCAATCTGATCAGCCTGTAATCAGGAGCTAGTTTAGAGGTGCCAGTGAACAGGTGGGAGTGTGTGTGTGTGTGTGTAGGTTGACACATTGTTTTTGATATGGATTTGTATGGCTCCGGCTAGTTTGATGTCATGGATTTGCATTCCAAACACATGTAGAGCGGTCTGCTGACTCTCTGATGATTTAGATGAAATGATTCTCGCCGCTCGAGCCCCTGATCATCTGCTGTTTGTGTGTTTTCCTTCAGGCTCTACGAGAACAAAGGCGAGAGTGATTTCATGGAGTCCCTGAGGAATCTCTTCACCTCGTTTAACGCCATGATGAACAGCAATGCTGAAGGGACCGGCGGGGTGAAGGTGAGAACGCTCTAGGAACCAGTTTCTGATGAGCTGGATGTTTAAACGCTGCGTTAATAGAGCATTAATATAAGAGAAACAAAAACATTTACACATCTGTTCCAGGGGCCCGTTCTTCGTACGTCGCTAACTCAGTTAGCTGGATTTGATTGTTGACGATTTCGCCTGATCTTGGGTTGTTTGGTTCTTCGAAGCTCATCCCGGAGTTGCTGTCATAGCAACAGGTCTGTTAGCTTAACCCTGCTCGGCAGCAGGCTTATTTCATGTAAACAGGATTAGATCGCATCTTTTTAAGCAGAATTGATACTTAAAATCTGTCCTACTGCTACTTCATTAGAAGAGTATCCTACTGATCCAGGGACAGTAATTTAAAATAATAATAATTAAAAAATTGAATTGAAATAATTGAAAAACAATATAATAATGTTGTGTAGTCTATAGGCTATAGTATATTTAAATGAGTAAAACTTCAAAAATTTCTTCATGTATACAGTTAATCTGAGCCGTGCATTAATTTGAGTGATGACAGCTATTTTGGAAGTGGCTTGATGCAGATAACTTGATCTTGACCCTTAAGAAACTTTAATTAATGCTGTCACACAACAAATCTGTTTAAAATATACAATTAAATGAATTGCTACAATGCTTACAACATTGAAATAAAAATGTAAAACCTGTACAAATACTAGAAATGGTGAATTTAAATAATTGGGAATCATGTAAAAAAAATAAAAATAAAAAATAAAAACAGTGCACATTTAATTTTTCTATTATACCTTTCATGTAGTTTTGATCGCTTGGCTGTTTCCTTATAAAGGTTCAGAAAATTGTCAAGTTTTTCGTCCGGTGTCTTTTTTAATGATATAATGTCATTACGTTGCTGTCTCGCCGCCAGCCAATCGCTTCATTGCTGATCGTGGTTTAGAGTATTGATACATCTGCCCTTTTCGGGGAACATGAGAACGCGCAGTAAGCCTAGACCACTTAATCCAGATGTTTTAATCTAATACGCGAATTCGTTTGAAGAAATTAGCCAGAGATCAGTTATCAGGATTAGAAGATCTGGAATCTTTTCCAGCGACGTATGAAGAACAGGCCCCCGGTGTGACTTAATTTCACACATGCAACACACAAGGAGATGTTTCCCAGAATGTTCACGCTGCTCTTTTACAAACATTGAAGGCCTACAAATAACATCCATATGATGTATTCCAGTTCTTCTGAATTCATATGATGCTTTATGAGAGGAAAAATCTGATTAAAGTCTCCTGAAAACCCCTCCCTAAATGCATTTGCACACCCATATATTCAAAGTAGTTGCTTCTCAGTTAGTTATGAGAAATGACAACCAATGAAATTTGGATTAATTTGTGTCAAACATGACAGTTTTGCTAGCTAGCACATCAAAATGACAGGAAGAGGAACTGATTTGTAAAAGAAATCAAACTATACATTTTTATGTGACTTGCTGTGACATGTCTTAACTCAGCATCTTGCATAGATTTAATGCTTTTAACCTGGCTAACTTTGGCAAATTTAGTGACTCGTTCTTCAGTATTACTCATTTTATCTATCCGACACATGTCATCATGCAGCATATTTGAATATGCAAAATGAATGCGATTTGAGAGAGAATTAAATAACATTTTGGTCTGTGTAAAAATACTCTAAAAATACAAATTTTTGAAAGAAATTCATACTTTTATTCATCAAGAATGCATTAAATTTGTCAAAAGTGACAGTAAAGAAAATTCTTAAATTATATTTCGAATAAATGTTGTGCTTTTAAACATTATATTCATCAAAAAATATTTCTACAAAAATATGAAGCAGCGCAACTGTTTTTGACGTTGATAATAATAATAATAATAATAGATGTTTCTTGAACATCAAATCAGCATATTAGAATGATTTCTAAAGAGTAATGATGCTGAAAATTTAACTTTGCATCATAGGAAATAATTACATTTTAAACAAACTGATTTAATCTTTGAAATTTAAAATTAAATTGAAATTTAAAATTGAAGTTAAAACAAATTGAAAAATATGTTAAATTGTAAAAATATTTCACAATTTTACTGATTCTACTGTATTTGAGTAAATAAATGCAGCCTTGATGAGCATAAGAGATAACTTTTTAAAAATATTAAACAACCAACCAACACCAAACATTCAAATTACCATGTACACTTTCATTGTATAAAAAAGAAAAGTTCCTTGCAAGAATAAAAGTCATACAGGTTTAGAAAAATATGAGCAAAATCTGTATCCGGAGGCTCTGTATCTCAGGACCTCTTCGCAGAATGCTGCTCTGTGTCTTCTGTCAGACATGAATATGTATGTTTCTGTCTTTCATGTGTTGAAGTGTGTGTTTGTGTCTCTCTCTCGTCCCCTGATCTCCTCCTCTGTCCACTGTGGCTCTGGCTTCGCAATCTTTAGCTTCTCCTCAAGGTACTCTATCTGTCCTCCTCTCCTCCATCTGTTTCTCTGCTCCTCCTCCTCCATTTGTGTGCAGTTTTGTTTGTCACTGACCTTTCCTGTCACTTCTTTTTTGCATTAACACACCTCTGTTCTAACACACACACGCTCAGCGGCCGACACAAAGCATCAGACGCTCTGGTCGGGTCGTGAGTCTGCCTGGAGCGATGCAGGTGTGCTGCTGGCCCGGATCTTAGTGGTTTTGTCAGAAAATTAAAAATTGATCTTGTTAAGATGCACTGTCAAGGGAAGGAATATGCTTTTCTCTCCTCTGGCCGTGTCGCAACAGGAAAGCAAGAGACGACGTGAGTGAAACGGCACATCAGCTTGAAGTACATTGTGTTCACATGCCCTCACACTTATTATTTAAACAGTCTGACAGTTTGAGCTTGTGCTGGTCTGTTTTTACTGCACATGTCGGGTTTGTTTTTCTCTTTTCTGCTTTGTGTTGCTTTAGAGGGAAATGAAGGTGAAGTGTATCATTTGTTCACTACTAGTGTTAAACTAAATTGAAAACAGCTGTTTTCCAAAACACACCCCCAGCCCGCTATTGGTCATTTCAACAAATAGCCCCGCCCCCAAACGCACATTGGTTGAAACTAAGAAGCATATTTAAACATATAACAACTCCACAAATGTTGTTACTGTGGCACTGGACTGTTTGTTTGTTTGTTTGTTTGTTTGTTTGTTCATTCAGTCATTCGTTCATTTTATTCAGATATTGGGCAATAAGTAAACTATATATAGGGGTCTATGGCCAACTGCATTTAATTAAAATATGGTTGTAATTCTGTGTATAGTGTTCTAATATTTGGTGAAAAATTTCCGATTTCCATGGAAAATGTTAGTTTATGTATGTATGTACTTATTTATTTATTCATTCATTTTTAAGACACTTTTTTAAATACTTTTTTTCCCCATGCATTTTATATATTTTTTTCATGCATATACATACATATATATTTTATAATAAATGTGTATATATGTGTATTAGGGGTGGAACAGTTCAACTTATTCATGGTTCGGTTTGTATCACGGTTTTAGAGTCATGGTTTTGGTACGGTTCGGTATGTCAAATAAAAATAAAGAAAATAAGATTAATCTATCTAACTACAAGCAACAGCACAAATAGATACAATACAGTAAAGATACAAATAAAATAAACAGTGATTTTCAGGTTTTTTAAGGTAGGTCTAACATTAGTTTTAGGTACAGAAATTGAATAAAGTAATCAAATGTAAAATAGCGTTGCATATTTTACTGTATAAATTAAAGATGACTCTTTATTAAAGTTAAAAAAGCTATTCAATCAAGTGCAGTGAGCGTTTTCCTTGTTGTTGCCGTATTATTTTTATTAAGAAAGTGCTGTCACTTTAAGAGAATGCACTCATACAGTACTTTCAGCCGGCTATGTCTGCTATAGACCAATTTGGAGTAGACGTCACAGTTACGTCACTTGCAGCTGCGCGCGCATTGTGGTGGCAGAAAAACACTGGGAACAAGTGGAGGGAAACGGGTACAATCCATGGAATAAGAGAAAAAAAGTATTGTTGTGCTTTTGGATGTCAGAATCATTTTTATAGAATAATGTCATCAAAGATGCAATTTGAAGCTAAACGCAGACGTTTAAACGGACAAACTATAGATGAAACCAGCAACGATTACCCTACTTTTAAAGCATACATTTGATTTAAACAATAGGTCTATTGTTATAATATTCACATAGGGGACATATTGTATTAGCCCTACAGTTAAAGCATGAAATACTATTTAAACCTATAACATTTTACATTACATTTAGCCTACCTATTTTATCTCACAATTCTGACTTTTTTTTTCTCGCAAATGCAAGTTTAAATCTCCTAGTTCGGACTTTATAACTTGATTTACCGCAACAATTGCGAGTTTCATTGCCAATTCTGAAGGAAAAAAAGCCAGAAGTGTGGGATATAATCTCATGATTCTGAGCCGAGGGGAAAAGAGAGAATGACGAGTTGATTTTTTTTCTTATCAGAATTGTGATATAATCTCGGAATTGCAAGAAAAAAGTCAGAATTTTAAAATAAAAACTCAAAATTTACCTTTTTTTCATTTTTTTATTCCATGGCTTGCATAGACTGCAACGTTAAAACGAGCATTTTCTGCTGCCAGATAGACTCCGCCCACAAAAACGTCATCACTGTTTGCAAACACTGAAATTGGTCTATAGGATATTTACCAAAATGGGCATTTTGACAATTTTTGTGTGGATTTGTCCATTCAAACACAATACTTCAGAGAGAGCTTAATATTTGCGCGCGTTCTGAGGCACGGGTTTGCTTAATAATATGCGGGCATGTGATATTGCACTTAGCCTATTGCTCGTGTGATATTGCTTTAACTATATGATGTAAAGATCAGACAAAAACGGGCATTTTTGCCCCATATCTTGAATTTTAGGGATATTCTAACTGCATTATCTAGGCTCCATCACGCAGTGAGATATTTGTCATCAATCAATTGTATGAAATGTCAGATGACCCACATAGGTCTGGGGCAGCACAAATGTGTTAATAATTTTAACGCGTTATTTTTCACTGTAATTTTAATAATATGCGGGCATGTGATATTGCACTTAGCCTATTGCTCGTGTGATATTGCTTTAACTATATGATGTAAATATCAGACAAAAACGGGCATTTTTGCCCCATATCTTGAATTTTAGGGATATTCTAACTGCATTATCTAGGCTCCATCACGCAGTGAGATATTTGTCATCAATCAATTGTATGAAATGTCAGATGACCCACATAGGTCTGGGGCAGCACAAATGTGTTAATAATTTTAACGCGTTATTTTTCACTGTAATTAATTAATCTAATTAGCGCGTTAAATTACCAGCTCTAATATATATATATATATATATATATATATATACACACACACACACACACACACACACA